TTTATGCATCTTCAACAGTAGTTTTAGATGTTTGCATATGAAAACTAAAACTTCTGAAGAATTTATCGTAAAATACTCATTTGCAGTGTTTAGCTGAGAAGTGTAAATTTTCACAAGTGTGCATCATATTGCTCTGCTATTCATTAACATGTTCAAAAAAAGAATTTGTTCCAAAAAAGTCTCTTAAAATGCAAGTGTGGGCTATGATGTAGGGCAAAAATAATCTGTTTTAACGGGGAACTTGCTTTATTAATTTTAATCCATATTTTCTAATTTAATTACAAATCTACAATGAGCTATGATTTAATAACAATCATAAGAGCTACTGTTTTACATTCCGGGACAAATTATGGTCCTATGTAAGACAGTCCCAGTGACTAAACATGACTAAAATTTGTACTTCAGTACAAGCACATTACTGAAAAACAGGTTGTGCTCAGCTCTGAGTCAAAGAGCAAGACTAAATATTTGCACCTGATAATTTTGCCATGACTCAGGTGTCAGTGTTTAAGGAAAAATCTTACATCCAAGCAAGCTAATTGTCATTTGGGCAATAGGCCACATATGTCTACCTGCCACTGTTTCTGTGCACAGTTTGCTGCTACAATTCCTTAGAAAACTGGACCCAGACTGAGAACCTAATACAACCTACATTTCATTCTCAGTGCAAACAAAAGCAATAACTAAAAAAGGATCATTTCCACTCAGTGAGTGAGCAGTGTTGAAATTTGCACCCAGAGCTATTCATTACACTTGGCATGTGCATGATTCCTCTCCAAGTTCCTCAGTGATTAAACACAATGAAGTGCTGCATGTGATTCAATTCTGTATTACACTGTACATCAGAAAAGGATTAAAATAAACTCTTGGAGTACAGATTATGAGAGGCATCATGCAAGATGTGACAGGAACATTAATGTACCCAACAGTAATAAATTGGGACAGTTTAGCCATGAATTTGTATTTTGTTTTCTAACAGATGACATATTTGGCATTTGTCAACAGGACTTAAATACATAAATAATTTTTTTTCAAATGGGTAAAATTATTTTAGTATACAGGAGAAAACATTAGTTCATTGTTCAACATATAGACTCTGGTACTTGAAGAAACTTAGCTAATTAGGAAGTACCAGATATTTATTGCCTTTAGTTCAAACACTTAAGACCTGGGGTTGTTTATGCCCCACTGGCATATATACTTCTCCTGCAGATAGATTGCTTTCTACCATGGCTGGAGAGGCAAATACATACTCTTATTGCTAGATCTTTGGTTTTCTTATACAGTCAGTATTTGAAGTCCATTCAGCAGCACAATCAAGCATCTTTCAGTGCTGCTTAATTTTTGACTTTATATAATGGCTGGTTTGAAGCCAATATAGCCATCTGCTCACAGGGAAGTTGCATACAACAAGATGCACGTGCCTTGTGTTATCTGTGGCATGGATCTGGCTGTGCCACCCAGGTGAGAAGCATAGCTCCTTGCTGCCCATGCAGCTCCCTCCCCTTGCAGTGGAAGGCCCCAAGACAACACCTGTGCTGTAGGTCCCACACACATCAGCTCTCTCACTTGAGCGTGAGAGCTACAATGGGAAGCAAATCAAATCCCATCTAGTATTGCTATGTCTGATACACCCCATCTGATATAGCTCCACAATGCATTATCACTAAGGTTAAAGACACCCCCAACAATCATAGCTCCATTCACATGTGTTCCTTGCTCCTTGCACCATCCACATCACAGTAATCCAGCATGACTTCTTTCTTCCCTCAGAAGGAGTCTTGAGGAGACTACCAGGAAAGCATTAAGAGTTAAGAAGGTGGATCTGAAGAGATTTTTGTCACCAACCTCCTCACATCCAAAAAGTCCTAGCATGGCTTACTAGCACATTCTGTGTTTTATTTCATCCATAAACATGCTCTAACCTCACCATTTAGAGCTGCTGAGAGCAGTGCAGAGTCCAGGCAGGATGGCAAGGAGTGTCCCCACAGAAGGTGCCCAAGAGCCCCCTGGCTCTGCTTGTTCTGTGACCCCACACTGCCGTGGGGGTGTCAACATAACCCTTCTCATTTTTTAGAGAGAAAATGTACACATGTACAAACTAAACTGCAAGTCATAGTTTGAGCCTTCAGGAATTACTGTCAGGAAAACCTCTACAGACCAGCTCTGAAGGTACAGTCACTTCAGCATGGTTTATTCTGTTGGTTACCATCTACTGCATTGCCTTAGAATAACATTTTGGAAAAAAGATTGTAAAATCAATTCCTTATTTACACAGTTATTAATAACCAAATGGGATTTATTCTTGCTTCAGTTGGAATTTTAGGAGCTCACTTCTATCAAGAGATTTTACAGTTTGTTTTGCATATCTAGGCTTTGTGTCTGACCTGGCTCCTAGGCCCCAACCCACTTGCACCTCACAGCCTGGCCTTTTGTATACATGGGTCTTTTAAGCATGAGGGAAAGACAGATGGGGTGCAGCCCTTCTCAGCAACTGGGACACACGGTTCATCCCACACACCAGAATAAACCCCTTTGGTTTTCAGACACACCCTTTCTATCAACTCACCTTCAGCCTTTTGGGCTATGATTTAACTTATTAGAAGCAGATGGCAGACAAGTTTGCCAGTCACCCAGAAGTTCCTAAACACACCCTAGCTTCCCGATGAAAGAGCAAAAATCCTCTGAGGGCACCACAACCAGACAAACATGCTTCAAAAGCTCACAGGAGGCCAGCCCCTAAAGCAGGAGTACTTGCTTCCTCCTTTTTATAACCTTCCAACTGAATGGCCCCAGGTGATTTCAGTCCCCCAGGTGATCTCTGTTCCTGAAGAATTTGATGTTTCACTGATCAGCAGTTTAACATAACAGACCGATGTAGCCTTACCCTGTATCCTGTGGTACTTCAACAGTCCGCAGGTGTTTTTTGTCCAAGGAGAAAGAGATAGGGCAGTGAATATCTGTCTCCTCACAACAGTTTGCAGCCAGATGAATACACTGTATCACCAATTTCAAACAATTAGTTTCAACTACCAGCACTATGCTGATAGCCTGAAAACTGGACCTAGTAGGAGTGCTAGGCACTAAAAACTTAACAGCTGTGACCTTTGGATATTTTCATGAGGAGGCCTTTGCACGCTGCCTCAACATCACACCAAGCACAGCAGCGCCTGAGCGGGGTGCTGTGGTGGGGAGCGCCTGAGACCTGGCCCCACAAGACCTTCACCCTCCTCGTCCAGAGAAAGGGAGGGAAACCCTCTGTCATGGGGGAGAGGCAAGCCCTCGCTATCCTACTGGCCTCTCTGTAGAAACTGGTGTTGACATTATTCCCTCTCTCTGTTAGAAAAGTGGTCATGGGCAATTTATTTTGTGACCCTGCTACTGGGTAGTAACACTCTAAGAGACAGTCTATAGACTCAAACACATTTCCAGCTGCTGCGTATAGATGTACACAAGGGTCTGGGGACACTGTCCCCCTCTCAGCCCCAAGGAGATATGTGTTGCCCATCAGGGCTACCTGGTCCTGCCCCTGTCCCCTGCACTGCTTATTCCCCCTCATCCTGAGGTACAGCTGGTCCTATGTATTTAAAGAAATTAAATTAAATATAAGGAATTGGGTTTGGGAGGTGGGGGAATTCTTATTTATTTATTTATTTATTTATTTATTTTATTTACCTTTTCTTATATAATGTCATATGGAATTGCTGTGTGATATCCTAAACTAGCGTGCAGACAAGTGTTTTGTAAATTCAGAGAACATGCAGCCTTCAGTTGTGGTAAATGCAAGGGACAAAAATCAAGAACCATATAAGCCACCATCCAAACCATCTGTTCAAGTCCTTTGCCTTTCATTTCTGTGTAGCAGAACATAAATTCATTATTAAAATAGCTTGGCTGTGCACAGCAGCTGCTATAATTGCAAAGTTATGCAACTTTAAATGGGAAATTATGAAGTAGTTTAAAGCAAGAAATTGGACGGGTTCAGTAGAAAAGATTTCACAAACCTAATATGAATACAAGTGCTTTTCTAGCTATTTTCAACGTTTCATGGAAAAAAGATCTTATCTTTCATGCAATATAGAAAAGTCTGACAAATATTGAATGCAGGAAGAACTGGGGAGAAAGTGGTAGACTAGGACAGACCAGGGTCAGGCACAGGTTGTGACACAGCAGATACCATGCACTGCCAGTGGGAGACAGCAAGCACTCTGTGCCTTAGTTTCCCCACTGAAATACAGAAGACCAATAACTTTCCTTTGCAGAGCCCTCATGTTTGTTTCAGGGGCCATCTCTCCTTTGCCATACAGTGGTGGTAAAGCTATTGCAGACCCAGCAGTGGCAGAGCAGCACTAGCTCCTGCTGAAGCCTGGTGTTGCCATGAGACTGTTTCCAGTATGTGACTGTGTCTTGGGCAACACTGCAATGCAATTCATTCTGCAGCACAGGTACTCCTTCAGCCTGGTAAGCAGACCTTGTTTTGTACCACTGGTATGTATAACCTCCAGACTGCAGAAGTCGTTCTCGCTTTCTGTGTGTGCTTCCTACTTTTTCAGTACATTTCCAGTAAGTCACACAATACAGTAATACAAAAAAATTGCTTCTGCTTGAGAATGAAGAAAGTTAAAATGAAGAAAAATGAAGTGGAAGATAAGCTTTTAGAAAAGCTAATCTTTTCCCACTCTGTGATGATGGCCATGAAGTTGTTGAAGAGCATAATTTTATGTATATACATTACAAGAAAAGCATCTGCTGCTTTGTTCTGTTTCTTGCTTGTATCTTCCCTCTTTCTATGTGAGTCAAAGACAGTCTGATCTTTGGAAAGATAGGATCTTCCCATATACAATTTGTATAAGCCTCAAATAAGTAATAGATAGAAAAAAATTGACTCATACTTTTTTAATCATCGTATTTTCAGAACCTTAAGAGGAGAAGAAACATTTTTTTTAATCCAGCAAATGTCAATGTTAACACGTTTTTTTTTTTTTCTTTCTTTCATCCAGGTATCACTGTAGATAAGCATGGATTTATTTATTTCGTTGATGGTACCATGATTCGGAAAATTGATGAGAATGGTGTGATCACAACAATAATAGGTTCGAATGGCCTCACATCAACCCAGCCATTGAGCTGTGACTCTGGAATGGACATCACTCAGGTAGACACCTGGTTTTCAAGTGTTGTCACTTTTCTGCATTGTGGAGACAGATGGATTGATTTCTCATACAACAGTTATGTATCAGAATATGCCAGATGAATCAGATTATTCTGAACTGTGCAGTATGGAGTGGATCTTCCTTTCACACTACTATTATAAGGTGTATTATATAAATTCAAAACTACACAGTTGATTGTATCCAGGAGGTTGCATGTGGATTTGTAGAGGTGCTTATATAATGAATATATACTGCTTCAGAAAGTTGCTTGCTACTTTGAGATACAGCTTCCAAGGAGTTTATGAGAAGTTTAGAGTGCTTTCCTTTAGTCCAGCATTCAGACTTATTTGCTTCAACTACTAAATGGAAAAAATATATATTCTGTTGACATGTAAGTCTATTCTAAATCATGGAAGAGCATTACAGTAAGTAATTACAAAATAGCAGTGCTGTAGTGAAGCTACTGCATTCCAATACATTTCTCAAAGTGCTTTTCAGTTCTTATTTCAAAAGCAGTGTAAAAGAAATTGGACTACAACACACTTACCGCCTCTCTAGTTTATACTAAAAAAGATATATAGATAAGCATGAAGAAACGCAAATGGTACTCCTGAGTAGTCCTATCCTGTAGATAGCACAAGGAAGGGATTGGCCTTTGCCAATAACAATCAGACTCAAAATGAGGGAAAGGCTGTACTTGAAGAAAACTTTAAGCATTCATGTAGCATACAAAAGGTATATTATGGACTGTGTAAGCTAATAACCAGGATCCAGTTATTTTACATTGTATTTTCTCCCTGCCCTTTCTTCAATCCTTCACAATTGCAAAATCACTTAAAATATGCTGCATAGCAATTGCAAGATATTGTTCCTGGTTTCTGAGTAGTGTTTGAATAATAGCAGCTTACTGTGATCTTGTAATCACATACATGTGAAATACAGGGTCAATGTTTTGGATAGTTTTTATCAAATTTCACAGGGACAAACAATGGAATATGATGCTACCATCACAGCAGCACTTGGGGATTGTATTGCTAGAGTCAAAATTGAAAATCATGTCCTTGTTCCACTTCACATGTCACTAAGTATTTGGAAATGCAGGGAGGGGAACTGATAGACAGGCATCCTTATTCTCTCTGGTCCAGTAGATATACAATTTTTCCATGTAAAGCAGAACAGGGTCAAGTGGCTTAGCTGTGCTAAACCCGATCTTACACTAGCCTACTAATTGTCTTAAAGTCATATCACTTCTGGGCACCTTGGCTTCTGCTCTGGCACCTCTTCTTGCAGGATAGTCATTCCTGCAGATGATAAGCAGGAACCCAGTGAAGCAACCCGTGCTCCTCAGCTGCAGGCATTGTGACTCTCAGCTCCGTTGTTACAGACCTGCTGGCGGGAGTGATGCTTCATGGAACTTAGAGCTGCCTGAAGCATATTTATTCACTTCTTGGATACACATAACATCTGCCGGGGGCATCAGTAACCAGATTAGAGATCTCTGAGGTGCAAGAAGTAGTGCCAGGTGCAATGCCTGCTTCCTGCCTTCTCCTTGTGATCTGTATCTAGGGCTGTACATGTACTTTTTTTCCTGGTCATATAAAGTGTGACTCTATTTATGTGAAAATGTTGCTCATTTTCCTCATTTTGCTCAGTAACAAAATGTCTCACTAAATCTGAAATGTGACACTTCATTTTGATGCTTTTCAATTCCTTTTAAAAAATGCAAACACCCTTTAGCAAATAACTTACAACAGGGGGTCTGGCAAATGTGGAAATAAAATGGTTTTATTTTTAAAATGAAAATGTAATTTAAAAGGTAAACTTTTGGGGCTGAAATCAAACACATCAAAGTTTTAAATCTCTCTGTCCCCTAAAATCCTGTTTTATGGTGGGCTGGCTACTTGCCAGAAAAAGATTTAGTTTACCTTACTCTACAACATAGTTCCAGTGCCATGGAGAAAGAACTTTTGCAAAATCATAGGTAAGAAAAAGCTTGTCATAAAACAAATTCTTCTTCATTTTCCTCTTAGGACATCGGCATTCAGCTGGGATAGGGTCTTTTGTGGGTTCTTTAGTGATTCTTGGTATTGAAATTTTTCAGAAAATATAGAATTTTGACTATTCACACATACCCAGTAAAACACAGATGCTAAACAAATGTCCAGAGTGCATGTTCTGAAAAGTAGGTATACTTGATACTGTTTGTTTTTCAAAATTGTTGCTGATAACCTTAAAGCTCTATGAAATAACCACATCCAATTGAAGTCAGGCTTGTTAATCTGAAATTATATCATTGAAAATAAGGGAATGATATTTTCACTTAGAAACAATTGTATATCCTTGCAAGACTGCTGAGTTTTTTTCCAGCATGGCATAAACATAAATGAAAAATGAATTTGGCCATCTCCACTTAAATTGTTTTTTGGCTAAATTACAAGTCGCATTTACATCAAGAGAATGTGGGTTGCTCACAAATTGTGTGTTGAGAGGGACTTATGAAATAGATTAATAAAATCAATTCTCAAAGCTAAATTCGCTCTGACAATAAAATCAATGACTTGCTCAAAATCAATATTTCTTGATTTACTGAAATACAAAAATGTACTCTTGAAGTAAACATATAGAATAACTGCCCGTTGCGAAAACTACTATAAATGACAAGCTTTCAATTCAAGGCATTCAGTTTAATATATGAGCTGATTATGACGGGTTTAATCATTTATTCCAATATCAGTTTTGACAGAAACACTTCTTATTAATCATTCTGTGTTTGTTATTCACTGCCTTCTCATTCTTAAGCATAGTATTCTGCATTCATAAAGGAGAGGGGTGAGGGTAAGGACAGCTGGGGTTGAAAAGATGTGTTGTGTCAAATAAAGCACCAAACTCTGACTAATTACTTTGATCTCATACTTCACTGTGAGGGTGTTAATCTGAATTTAGAAGGAAAAGGACATTTATATAGTATGTGCTAGTGTTCTCAGTGCTATTTCTGCATGTACAAAACTTGGATGACTTTTCTTCTCAGCGCCATGCAAGTCCAATTATTTTAGTGTTCTTCAATTAGTTAATAAGGAGAAACTTGAAAGAAAATGGCTTTTCAGAACCAGATCTGTGAATATGCCTGTATTCCTGTATGCATGTAGATATCCTCAGCACTCACCATAGGTCCCAGGATTTCAGCAGTCACTTACATTGCTATCAGCTATCCAGTAGCTTCCTTTGTGGTAGAGCTGTTCATATTAGGCATAAATGCTGTCCACAAAACCCTGAATACCATCACATGAGCAAGAGCTAAACTTTAAAGGCAAAACGTTTTTCAAGAATATCAAAAGAGGATGTTGGTATTCATTTGATTTGTGAATTTAAATATTCACCTCACTAATTTATAGCCAGAATCTGAATGCTGGACAGATGAGTACCTCTGCAGCTTGGTCCTTGGCTTCTTCTAGGACTGGCTCCCATTCTACCAAAGTTCTTTGAATTAAGTTCTATGAAAGCTGTTTTGTTGTAGGTTAAGTGAATAGTTAAGTGAACAATAAACCTGTGTTGAACCTTATATATTTGCATCTATCTGGAGGTTCCATGGATTGACTCATCTCATAGCTTTATGTTCTACCAAAAATTTCCTTTAGAAGCCCAACCAAAGAGAACAAAATTACCTGCTACAGCACCTAACTTCCCAATTTCCTTTGGATAGAAAGACTATTAGAGGTACTCTAAATCGCAGACATAAGTTTTGGTCTGAAATACTCGTACTGACTTCTCACATTGCTGCCCCGCTCGCTGGTCTCTGAATGTGCACCAGCTATGGGCAGGCTGGGGATGGTCACCCCCCAGCAGGACCTCTGTTGGGGTCTCCTGGGCATGAGCCATGACGGTACTAAGGGAGAAGACTGGAGTGCAGAGTGAAAGAAGGAGAAGAGAGGATCCTCAGTCTGTTTCTCTGCCTGATGAATCTGGATTCAGTTCTGGTCTAGATCAAAGTCAAAGGGGTTGCTCTTTTCCACAGATGTGCCCACTCTCATAGTGTTTGCTGCATCCCTAGGGTGTATAACAATTTTTAGCCTAGTTATTGATAGCAAATGAGAATGCATTGCTTGTGTGGGAACGTCTGTCTGTCCATCTGTCAGTATTCTTCTCCTACCACTAAATCAAAATCTTTGGCTGATTTCCAACAAATTTGTAGAGGAATACCAGCTTTCACAGCAATTAAATTCCTACAAGTTCCATAAAAATATTAATCCAGTTGCAGGAGAAAGACCTAAACTGCCCTTTCAAAAGGAAATATTGCAGCATGAGCTTTTTTTTATTAAACTCCAGAGATTCCACTCGGGATCTAGTAAATGTCCCATTCAGAGGAGAAGCTTCATTTGGTGCTTGGATCTTATTAAACTCCCAAGTCAGTCAGCCATGAGATAGAAGTCCTTAGGAAAACGGACTTCATTAGATCCAGTGATCATAGAAGTTATATTGCCATTGTGGGAGGCTTTGTGTGAAAGGAAAAAACACTTCAGCTCAGCTTAAGCAATAAACTTTGTTTCTCTTCTGCCTCCATTGCTGTGTTGAGAACTGAGGAGGGAATTAGGAGCTATTTTGACCATCTTGCAATTTCGTCCCCTATCTTTCCTCCCCTGAGAAATATGTGGGCTGAATTTCCACCACTGTGAACCTCAAGTCATTTATGTCTGTGCAGTTAGTGTTTGGGAATAGTTTAAACCAATCTTGAGCATATTCCCTGCAAATGGAGAGACTAAACATTTGCAAGGGAACAGAAAATGAATCCCAAGAGCTTACTCTTAGCCTGTAACCACGGCCTTGTTCTCAAGCTGATGTCAGTCCCACTAGGCATGAGTCTGTGCCAAAGCAATAGCTCCAGCCTGATTTATAATGTTAATAACTGTCACTGCTGTGTTCCAAAATGAAAGGTCTGGTTCGAAGACTTTTTCTTGACATTTGCACTTCATCAACCTTTGTTCAGCAGTTCGCCATGTGAGGGAAC